AGTGTCTCACAGTGAGAACCCTCCATGGACCTGGATACCAGTTGAATTAACTGCACACCCATTTGGGGGCCTGGATTTACACCATAGTGGCTCTGATACCAACAAACCCTGGCTTTGAAGCTGATCGAGTGTTTAAGTGCCATCTGCATCTAGCATTGGGTAGACCTCATACAATAACTGTCCTAGCTCTACCCTATCTTTTGTTTCATTTCTTTTGGAACAATCACAAACACTTTTTTGATTATGGATCTACTACCAGAATTTCAATGCGTAATCTTAGCGTTCTTTCTCTCATTCTTGAATTGATTGGAATGGGATGATGAATTTATTTCGCCTCTTTGCCAATAAATCAGAATTCTCGTAGAGAATAGCAGAATATATGAGCGGCTTTAACTATAACCTCAGTTCTATTTATTGGTCTGAGCAAGATACGGCTTATTTGAAATTAATATTTGAAATTAATTCTTTCAGAAAATGGATTCCTATTCGAAGAGTGCATAACCGCATGGATAAGCGGAAGTCCAAAAGTCTGCTTCTTGAATATCAGCCAACATATATGTGTTCTCCTTTATACCCATTATTTTTTAATTGTATTACATCTTATGGCCCAGTACACTATAGAATACCCCATTTGCATAGCATGACATATAGAGCCTACATATATATATTTTAAATAAGTCATCGCCTCTAGGTCGACTAGAACACTCATCGGAAGAAAGGGAGGAAGAAACAGATGTAGAAATAGAAACAACTTCCGAAACGAAGGGGAATAAACAGGAACAAGAGGGATCCAACGTAAACGATGGATACTGGGCGCTGTGCGTATCGACCCGTGCAGTGCTGTAGCTAACGCGTTAAGTATCCCGCCTGGGGAGTACGTTCGCAAGAATCAACTCCTGCCTCCCACAACTAGCTCTACATAACACTAGTCCAACTAAAAAGCAACTTCAAGACAATCGTATCCTCATATGATACAGCCATTCGTCCTCGAGCTAAAAGAGATGCAGTCTTGTTTTACCGCGACAGGAGCTATGAGTACGATTGGAAAAAAAAGTTAAGTACATTAATAAGACAAACCATACTGTCATATTTTCTCTTCATCAGTTAAAGAACAAACACCTTAAGAATGAGTATCTAAATACATTTCAGCATGCAAGCATGCTTGCATTTATATACATCCACAGCAGTAATCTGATTTAGGATCCATTTAGGATTGAGTTTAGAGCTGCTTTTTAAAACGTTGTTTTGATTTTCTTTTTCATTTTCTAATATTTTCTTTTAACTGCTTTTGAACCATGGTTTAAGAAAGCTGAAAATTCTAGCTTCTCTACACTCTATAAGTTTTTTATACTGAAAATGCAGCTTGCTAAAAATCAACCCAACCCCAACAATGTCAAGAGAGCACTTGATGGCAAAGAGGTTTTGACATTGCAATCAATTCAAGAACACAAGGGGGTAATAAAAAGACTAATACTCACATAGGGAATTTCATGCATGAATATGTATATATATTTTATGGAAAAAATCCAATTTTTTTTCACCCTCAATTTTAAATAAAACTTCCATAAAAATTCTATAGAGATGGTTTGGATAAATAAAATTCATCTTTTTCTTCTTATTACTAATTATCAAAAATTCGAACCAAAAACAGATGTAAAATCATTTTCAATACAAATTGCTTATTTCTTAAATTTAATTAATGAATTTGCCGAAAAATCAAGATCGAGTTTAAATTTTAAGGAAAACTCTCTTTATTTTAGATCACAAAGAAGAAAAAATGGATTTAGAAAATCAAATAAAATTTTTCAAAATTTTATTTGATACAGTTAAAGCGAATTCAAAAAATAAAACAATTAGAAAAAAAATAAAACAATTAGAAATAATTATATTGGAATAAAAGAAATAAGTAAACAAGTTCCTCGATGGTCATATAAATTAATTGACGATTTGGAACAACAAGAGGGAGAAAATGAAGAAAACATGGCGGAAGATCATGAAATTCATTTTAGGTGTGCACATCTCCTTTCTGTGAGTTGTGGCAGCACTATCCATCATCTCCTTAGTAGTTTCTGCCAGTTGAACAACTTCATTCTTAGATACTTTGAGTTTACCACAGTGGCTGGGCAGATCTTGAACTCTCTTCCTCATAACAAGCTATTACAATATAGAAAAAGTGAGTAATAGGGTAAAATTGGAAGGGGAACAGAAACAACAAAATACTTATAGAGAATAGATTGCAGTTCATATTATGAATATTGCACTCTCTTCCATGGAATCCAAGTCCTTGCCCACTGGACTTTGAGAATAAAAAGCTGAAGCTTCATGAACAGCCTTGATGTATCCTTCAACATCTGGGCAAGTGTGTTTTAGCTGAGCAATTTCCTCTGGAGTTTCTGTCCAGTTTCTTTTCTTTCTCCTGGCAAGAGGAAGGTCATCCTCAACAGTGAGATTAACAACTTCAATCTCTTCTGAAGGAATTGCAGGCAAAGTAGATGGGTCAGCGGCTTTTTTCAGGCTTATCTCTGACCCGAGAAGTTTGACTTGATCTAATGTAACTGGATCAGAAGAGGTAGCAAGAATAAGAGTGCTTGAGCCCCTACTTGACAAAGGAGGTGTCTTCTCATTTTCATCATCCTCATCTCTTAACATAAGTCCATCTCCCTTTTTCTTTGTTTGAGTTGAGGCTTTGATCTAATGTAACTGGATCAGAAGAGGTAGCAAGAATAAGAGTGCTTGAGCCCCTACTTGACAAAGGAGGTGTCTTCTCATTTTCATCATCCTCATCTCTTAACATAAGTCCATCTCCCTTTTTCTTTGTTTGAGTTGAGGCTTTGATCTAATGTAACTGGATCAGAAGAGGTAGCAAGAATAAGAGTGCTTGAGCCCCTACTTGACAAAGGAGGTGTCTTCTCATTTTCATCATCCTCATCTCTTAACATAAGTCCATCTCCCTTTTTCTTTGTTTGAGTTGAGGCTTTGATCTAATGTAACTGGATCAGAAGAGGTAGCAAGAATAAGAGTGCTTGAGCCCCTACTTGACAAAGGAGGTGTCTTCTCATTTTCATCATCCTCATCTCTTAACATAAGTCCATCTCCCTTTTTCTTTGTTTGAGTTGAGGCTTTGATCTAATGTAACTGGATCAGAAGAGGTAGCAAGAATAAGAGTGCTTGAGCCCCTACTTGACAAAGGAGGTGTCTTCTCATTTTCATCATCCTCATCTCTTAACATAAGTCCATCTCCCTTTTTCTTTGTTTGAGTTGAGGCTTTGATCTAATGTAACTGGATCAGAAGAGGTAGCAAGAATAAGAGTGCTTGAGCCCCTACTTGACAAAGGAGGTGTCTTCTCATTTTCATCATCCTCATCTCTTAACATAAGTCCATCTCCCTTTTTCTTTGTTTGAGTTGAGGCTTTGTATGAAATTTTATCTTTTTTTTTTTCATTTCCATTTATGCTTCTAACATATTGATATATATATATATATATATATAATAAAATATGATAAACATTTTTAAAATTAAAATTTTTAATTGTACGTCATCCCACAGACACATGTTCATTTTATTTAAAAATCTATACTATATATAAGTATGAGAATAGGTGGAAATGATGAGATTTTCTATTGTCTTTAATGAAATTTAAAATATGTTAAAATAACTTTAGTCATAGCCAATTAAAAACCTAAATTTTTTTTGGTTGATTAGATATATTTTATAAAAATTATTATTTAAATAAATATATATAAATAATTTCTCGTTAAAAGAAAAATATAGATAATTAAGCATGTCAATGTCACGTATGGGTCCATGAATTTGGGTGTCCTATATGGACATTATAATTATTATAAAAAATAATATATATATATCAATAAATAAAGTTAAAAAAATTGATTAAAATTATAAAAATACTCGAAATTATATAATCCCAGCTCCGCTATCTCTTATAGTTTAGCAGTCATAGTATCAAGTTAGCCGAAATAGTTGTAGTAGGCCTCTTATCATGGCATCCTGGTTAACCATGACAGAAGATGGTGCTGGCCGATTTCCATTTGCACCGGATATTTATAGAGTGTCAGCGACAGTATACAAATTTTATATTTATTGAGTTTAACCTGTTTTTAGATATATCAAGTTATTGATATTATTTTGGATAATTCCCTGAATTCGAATTACTGCCTGTTATCTCAATAAAGACCGTATATATTCTCTTTTATATTTACCATGAATCCCGCTACTATTCGTTATGGTTACAAACGCTTTTTGTACAATCTGATGCATTAGGTCGTTGTGGAACCACCATTATTATGATGATTTAGTATACACATCAACCATATTTCCCAAATATTTGTATCAAATATTAGATCTAGTACTTAATTCCCAACTTGAAAGTAATGAAAAAACTCATAAGGCAAAAATTCTCAAATATGCCTTGATCATAGACTTATTTAATAATTTATCACTATAAAGATACCATTAATTCCAACTGTAAGTATTACTGAGCAATATGAATTGGTAAGTGGTCAATTTCAATTATCACGATCTAAAGAAAAGATCATTATGATAGTCCACGACGCATATATAGGTTTTGATATATAACTGCTATCTTAGTTTGCTTGAATTAGATCGAGTGTAATGATGATAAAAATATTTATGACGAATATATATACAATTAATGACTGTTGCTTGGAAAAACCCATATATCACGTTACGTTAGTGTTGGTTTTGTTGCTGCGGAAAGTAGGTTAAGTTTTGTTCCCCGCTTCCTATTAATTAGGCTTCACTTGTGTGACGTAACGAAAGGTATGATTCATTGTAATTATATTTGAAATATATATTTTCCAGTAAATACAGAGAACTTTTAATTTTGAATTAAATAATTAATTGTTGCTGAATCTGCGTTCTTAGGATCTTTAGATATATATTTGCAGTATATAAATTAATATAAAAAATATATAGAATATAAAAAAAAAAAAAAAAAAAAAAACCACAGTCTGTGGATCCAACATTTGGCACCTTAGCTATTACTTATACAATTACATCCAGGGGTCATGTATAGTTGTTATAACATTTTCGTTAATTCCTTAAAGAATTATATGAGATGATTCAAAGGCTTTTTCTGACAATATTGATTGATAATCTTCTCTTACATCTAGGTGAAGACAATGTTGACCTGTTATTAGAGATTCTCACGGAATGTTCTGTAAGTGATCAATAATTTTTTTGCACCATCCCTATCATTCCGTTTCTTTTATTCCCTTTTCCTTTTTTGAGAAAGATTATATATGTTCCTAAATAAGATGAGACTAAAGTTGCTTTTAACTTCATATGAGAAGGTTTTGGCTTCAGAATGACACTTCTTTTTCTTTTGTTTTTATGTGATGGACTTATTTGGAAGTTTTAACTTCTAATACTTGACCTGCTTTGGAATGAAATAGGGTCTTCAAAAATCAAACTCCCAGTCATCAGATTCTCTAGATAGCTTGTTTGATGACAAGGATGCAAGCAATCCTCCAGAATATTCCACATTTGTTGAACCAAAAGAGGTAACAAGCTGGGATCTTATTATGTTTATGCCAAATCACTTGTTTTCCAGTTCTAACTTGAAGATATATGATGAGTATTTGAGGCTAAATCCTCAGGATCTGTCCAAATGTATGGAGGTTCTTCCAGTCTGCTCAATTATTATTGATCAAGTCTTCTGTCAGTACCTCCTCCTCCCAATTTATCTGCAGCTGTAAAAGCGTTTAACCTTGACAATATGATTATTTCCAGCTGGTGCATCTTTTTATTTGGATTTTTTTCCCAATTGTTTGTTGCATCAAGCATAAATTTTTTTGATTTATGGATATATTTTGCACATCAGGAATCATGGTCTGGATAATTGTAAGCTTTTGAAAATTAGTCATTATCTTATTCTAATATCTCTTTTGCTGGATGAGCTATGCTTTAATGGTTGAAATTCCATGCACTTACATTTATCCATGACTTTTTGTTCACACGAAGTTTGGTTTCTTTGCTGTGAACTTGTGGAAAACATTGATTTGAAATTCAGCTGGATGATTGTGTCTCATGGTGATTTCATACCATAGTTTAGTAGGAGATTTAATACTTCATTGGATTTTGTTAAATCTTTGATCTTTTGCAGGAGCCAGATTTATCTGGGATTTATGATGACAAAAGATCATCTTTATTAAAGATGAATTTCTCTGTAGAGGAGGTTGATTTTGCAATGGAAAAGCTCGGTACATAAACGTATATTTTTGGCAGCTTTTTGTGCGTGAATGCCAGAGAACACTTTGACTTTACTCACCCCAATATTAAATTGAACTACTTTTACTTTTTATCATATGTAGAATAAAGAATTCTTTTGTCTATTGAATTCGAAAAACAGAAAAACAGTACTTTTTTTTATTGTTTGCAAAAAAAAAAGAAAAAAAAAGAAAGACAACAAAAGTTTCACCTTTCTTATTTGTTGTTAGGATATTTTTTTATCATTTTTTTCGGTGTAGGGGATCTTTTTTCCCATCGACCATTTCTGACATCACAAAATAATTTATTCATAAAATTTTGTCTTTTTTATATTTTTATATTTATAACTATTTGAATATAAAGATAGATCATTTGATTAGTGTCCCTTACTTTAATAATAATAGATATGCTTAGGCTCGGGCTTTGGAAATTAGATTCAAGGTATATATTATATTTATATTATTTAAAGTGTAGATAAAATTAGATAAATTAGACAGGATTAAACAGGAGTAAGAACTCGAAAATTTTTTTTGTTATATTAATATATGTCCAGATATCAATACCTAGGATGGGTTGCCTAAATCGCTAACCAATATTTCTCCTCCATAATATATTACCCTTAATAATATAAGTTGGATATTTGTCGCATTATATATGAGGTGATTGGAGTATTGTTTTCAATCATAGTTCCTATTTTATATTTATTTCTGGGTTATTATTTTATCGTTTGTTGTTTAGTTAATTATCATTATTTTAAATTATATTTTCTTGTCATTAATATGGTTGAGATGAAGTTGTAATGTTTCTAAATGAAATTTATTATCTATTAATATTTGGACTCTTTTCGGACTGTATAAAATAACTATCTGATTTATATAATAGATATTCGAATTGGTTTAATTTGGTCCTTGCTGCTATGAGTGAGGATTATCTTGGTAGGTGGTTTGTTTAGAGTGGATCTTATTCTGCTGCTCTAGCCTAAGGCAGTGCTAGAAGTCTTATCTCCGTCTGAGTCCGGTAGCTGTGCAGAAGACTTCCTGTATATTTTCGAAAAGGGTACAATAAATCCTTAGTTTTATATGAAGTCACAATTTGTTTTTTTTATGGTTTTCGCGATTGGTTTTTGACTAATTTCATGAATTTTAAGATATTGAGGAATCCTTTCTTTTGGAAATAGGAATATAAAATTATGATATTTTCGATCATTTAGATACATATAGTTGACTCAGTATATTTGTTTTTTCTAGTCTTGTTCAATTTAGTATGATTACTAGATTCATTTGATAAATCCGTTTATTTTATTTTTTAGTGAAGTGTAATTCTTGTTATTAGAATTATACTGATTTCGTTTATGTAATGTGAGCAGAAAATGTAGCATGGATAAATCTTTTTTTTCTGTATTTAACTAGGATTTTATTGTGATTTAACGTTCGGTTGGATTTTCTGGGTGGTATCTATTTTACATTATGTTGATTTTATATGAACATATTAGTTAAATTCTTCCGTTTCCTCTGGGGTTTTTTTCGCTTATTTCGAGTATGGTTCCGTTTTTTTTAAAAATCACAGGATAATTAATTTTTTTCTAAGCCATATGTAACTTCGCTGCGTCCAGGTACTTTTTTTTAACTCCGAGAGGAGCGAGCGCGGGTGGTCGATTTTGGTGTAAGCTGAACATTGTCAGTTTTCACTCCGATCTTTTTATAGTGCCACAGCTACTTCTGCCATATTGCCGATTGAGGTTATGATTGCCTGTAATGTTAGATGTGTGTGGATGAATTTGTGGGTGCCTATGCAGCTCTCTTTTGTGATGGATCATGTATAATTATGCGGAGTAGCAGTGTTCCTAGCTAATTCACATTTCGAAAAATGTATTTATATTAGATATGGTTATTATAAAATACATATATGTGGAGGTTAAATTTGTATTGTCATGTTTTTCTTGTTAGCTAGAGGATTTACAATATTTATGTAGAACGTGTAAATCTCTTTTTATCTGGCATAACATTTTGGGTGGACACTAGCTACAGAGGAGAGATGTGGATGAGTGTGAGTAGGAGTTTTTTCTGCGGTCATACTTAGTTGTGGAGTTCTGAGTTTATTGTTCGGATTTGAATTTTTTTTACTTAAGTATAAAATTTTTTGATATCATTTAATTTATAAGTATTGTATATTGTTGGTTTTTATGTCTAATTCAATGTGTGAGGGGTTCTGGCTTTTATTATATGTTCATTTTGTAGCGAGGGGTTGGAAATCTTTGTGATATTACTGTTGGCATATTACTATGCATTGATATATGATTCACTCTAAATAGACGTGTTCTTATGTCCAGGTTTTTTTTAGTCTATATATTGATTTTATATTCATACTTACTTTGGGTTGCCAGTGTTTAGCTTCTTGTTGTTATTTAATTTCCTATTGGAGGTTTTTTGATTTAGTATTGTGTATGTTGGTGGTGTTACTTTGTGGGATTTGGAGGTGTCTAGATTTTCTGTGTGGAGAGCGTGTTCAGTTTTTATATATGGCTGGCTATGAGTGTTTTTTTTGTTGATTTTTATTGTCGAAGGTTTAGGTTCTTTAATTGGTTCCTTTGGGTATAAATAATTTATCATTTTTGGTCTGCTTGTTTTGTTTTTTTTGTGTTTTATTGCGATTCGTTTGAGGTAGAAATTTAGTATGTTTTGTTGGGTTTTTTGCTGTGTGTGTGAGAATATCAGGAATTATGGCGATATCTTTGATGTGATGATGGAGATAAAATTTACCTTTTCAGGGATTATAGAAGAGGAGTTCATGGATTAGTGTCAGTGGGTTTTTTGAGTTTCTTAGTATATTCTTTTAGAGTTGTTGCAGTAAAATTGTGCTGTTGCCCCAAAAGATTTGATTTAGCGTGTTTCATATCGAGTAATCTGGTTAATGTATATGTTTTCGTTCGTGTGTTTATTTTTTTGTTTCTTTTTTTATGTATTAGTTGGTTTCAATATATTAATATGTATTTATCAAATGCTCTCTTTATTCTGTACGAAGTTTCTATTATTTATTTTTTTTTGGATGATTGAGTTTTTTATATTGCTTTGTTTTTTTGTACGGTAGATTTTTTTCTTATTTGTGTAGCGACTAATAGAATGGTGTTTGGTTTTTTGTTTGTTTTGTGTTGGTTGTTTCAAATGATAGTTTGTAATTTACATTATTATGACTACGACTTGAAAAGATAGTATGTAATGTTATGTTTATATATTTATGGTGGTATTGATTTTGGTTTGGTTTCTAAAGTCGAAAATAATTCAATAATTTTTATTGTTTGTTTTTTATTTTTGGTGAGGTATTTTCATTTAGAGGGTCTATTATTTATTATTATGATTATTTTTTAGAGAGTCTTGTTTGATATATTTATGTTGAGCTGTTGAGTTCGTTTTCTTTGTTGGCGGTTTTTGTGTTTATGGAGTGTTTTGAGTATGTTTGTTTTTGAGTTTGTGTGCTTTTTTTATTTGGTTATTGTATGATTTTTAGTTTTTTTCTTATTTTTTTGAAATTTTTATTTTTATGTTTTTGTATTGTTGTATTTATTTTTTTTTTTTGATTTGTTAGTTTTTTTTTTTTTCTTTTGGTTCTATTTGTTTTTTTTCTTTATTTTTTTTTTTTTGATTTATAGGTTAATTTTAATGTACCATGTCTTGTTGAAAATATCTAGGATTTTGCTATTTTTATGAGAGTTAGGCCGCTATGGTTGGGTAGTGGTCTTTATTATTTTTTTCGTATGCGTCTGATACCGATATATGTTCCTTCTTATTGATATTTTGTTGTCTATTTTATTTATGAGGTCTGTTCTTATGCTTTCTCGTGAGGGCGCGTTGGTATGACGCTTTGAATTTTCATTCTCATTTATGCGTCTTACTGTGAATATACGAGTGTTTTTTAATATATTTGTTGGCGATAGGTTGTGTGTGTTTTTAATGCGTTTTCTGAGAGTTTCCCTATATTGGTATGTTAGTATGTTGTTTGGTGTGGTTTGTGCTATTGGTGGGGTGTATGTGTGTGTTGGTAGTTGTTTTTTGTAGGAACTTATTTTAATATATTTAGTTTTTCAGATTGTATTTTAATTGTATTATGTTATAAGTTTTCTTTTTTTTTTTTTTATTAATGTATATTATGATTGGTTTAGTTTTTATCATGTATTGGTGTAATATTATATTATAATTGAGAGAGTATTTTGTTTTTGTTCGGATAATTTTTTTTTTTATGTAGATTTGACGATGGATTTTGTAAAAGTATTCCAAGCTTATTTTTCATAAGTTATAGGTTATTTGGTTTGGTTGTGAATGGAAAAGTTATGTTGGGTTTTATGTTTTTCTTTGTAAAGTGGTTGTTAGTTAATTAGGTGGCTTAGGAGGGATGAGTTTTTGTGGTTTTGTGGTTATGAGTTATGTGATTTTAGTGACCGGTTGCTTCAAGAGTTAGTATTTGATATTGGTTGTGTTTTTTTTTTGACTTGGACATATCAATAAAACAAAAAATTTTCGAGTTCTAACTCCGTAATCCTGGTCTAATTTATCTAGATTTTATCTAATTTAAATATATATATCTACCTGATGCTATTTTCCGAGCCCGAGCCTAAGCATATTAATATTATTAAAGTTAAGAGCCATTCAAAAGATCTATTCTTTTATATTCAAATAGTATAAATATAGATAAATTATAAAAGTACAAATATTTTTATGAATATTTATTAATTGGTATTAGTCAGAAATGAGTCGAGAAATGGGGAAAAGATCTCCCAGCCGAAAAATGATAAAATTCCTAACAAACAAAAGGAAAAGGTGGAAACCTTTTGTGTCTTCTTTTTTTTTTTTCTTTTTTTTGCAAACAAATAAAGAAAAGTATGTTTTTTCGAATTCAATAGAACAAAAAGAATTATTTATTCTACATATGATAAAAGCAAAGTTAGTTCAATTTAATATTGATTACATTGCAAGAATGAAAATCTTTATATTTATAATATATCTTTAATATTTATATATATCTTTAATATTAATTTATATTCTTTATATTTATATATACTTA